ATAGATAGCAGTTTGTCTGTGATTAAACAGAACAGAAACATTAACACATGTATACATATACATACATGCATATACATTAACATATATATTCATGAATATATACTGTGTTTAGTAAGGCCGGGCAAGTTAACAGGCTATTGCTTTAAAATATTAAAGAACGGCAACAATGCACTGCAGCTTCCTTCACTGCTGCTTGTGCCTCCACCTGAAGGGACCATTGAAGAATGTTGATTGCTTTAAGCTCTTAAGGTTATTTTCGCAGTATGTTTAGTAATGTTATCAGAGCACTTTCAAAACCACTAACCATATTGTATTGTTTTTATTCTGAACATGTCTTTAATCAGGGAACAGCATACGCTCAGTAGTAAGGTCCCTGTCAGAGGTAAAGACTGGCTGTCCTTTGGAGAATCTCAAGAAAAAACTCTTTCAGTGATGCAGGTTGAGCACACAATCACTAAATTGACCTTTAACATCCACTTTCGTAAAAGCCATGGGTTTGAAGCAGGGGTCTCAGACTCGCGGCCCGCAGGACAATGTTTTGTGGCCCCCTGCCTGAAATCAAATCTTTGTGTTAGTGCGGCCCGCGCATTTTTTTTCACGTATCACAATAACTCAAATCAAACCCATTCGACACAGAATAAATATGTTATAGGTTTTATTTTTATAACAAGATGTAAGATTTCTTCCACTCTGGCAGAGAGAGGCAGACCCTCTGACGAGGGGGGGCAGCCCCCCCACTTCCCGCGCTACCGCCCGTAGCTCAGGCTCGTGACAACAGCGCGAATTAGCAATTGGTCACTTTAACATGTTTGGATGAACAAGTGGAGGGAAAATATATCTTGTCACCTAGTGCTATACGGTTTTTGTCAGCCCCAGTCATGTCTTTTTCAAAACCTGCCGTTAAGTGGGGGACGGAATATTTTTTTGTTGAGCACAGATCCATATCAGATCCAGAGCTTTAAAGCATCGGCAGTTCCGCGACTTTTTGGCGGAAATAGAGTCGGAATACGAGGACGTGCTCTACTTCACCGAGGTACGTTGGCTCAGCAGGTTTTTTGAGTTAAGAGCAGAAGTGAAAGCCTTCATGGAGAAGGATGGGATGACTGTTCCTGTGCTAAATGATCCTAAATGTCTAATGGACTTAGCTTTTCTTGTTGACGTCACACAGGAGCTGAATGTACTGAACAAGAAGTTACAAGGTCAGGACCAGCTTGTCAGTGCTGCATATGACAATGTCAGAGCATTCTCCAAAAAACTTGTGTTATGGAAAGCCCAGCTTTTCCAGACAAACCTCTGCCATTTCCCAGCATGCAAGGCACTCATGGATTCAGGCACAACATTCAGTGGTGAGAAGTATGCTGATACCATTGGAAAGCTACAGGAAGAATTTGATCAGAGGTTTGCAGACTTCGACACACAGGGCCACTTTTCTGATTTTTGCTGACCCCTTCTCCTTTGATGTGGAGGATGCCCCCCCTGTCCTGCAGATGGAGCTGATTGACCTGCAGTGCAATACTGACCTCAAAGCAAAGTTCAGGGAGGTGAGTGGAAAATCAGTGGAGCTTGGACAATTTTTGAGAAAACTGCCCCCCACCTTCCCTGAGCTTTCCAGGATGTTCAAGCGGACCATGTGCCTTTTTGGCAGCACCTATCTGTGTGAAAATGTGGCTCAGCTGTGTGAGAGGAAGCGCTGCCAAGTCTCTGGCAGCAAGGATTAGAAGGAAGTAAATGAAGCCTATGTTCTCAAGAACTGTTCATGTTCTGCATGTTCTGACTTGTTAAGATTGAGAAGATTGGTTCAGTTGACCTTTTTTTTGTGGAATACATGATGCGGCCCAGCCTCACCCAGACTATACCTCCAGCGGCCCCTAGGTAGATTGAGTTTGAGACCCCTGGTTTAAAGTGTAATGTAAGTCGCTTTGGATAAAAGCGTCTGCTAAATGACCTGCAATGTCCTGGTTGTAAAGTCTTGCATGTGTTGCAGAGTGATTCACCTCCAGTACTTCACCGGTACAAGTGCTCATATAGACGCATTTCTCCCCACAAAAGTTCTTCAATCTGATCCGTTCTCTCGTTAACATTCTTGGTTTTAATAACGGCGGTATTGTGCTGTGAAAACTGAGATGTGAGACTCCGTAAAGGACGTAGTCAGCAGACCAATCACAGCCTGGTGCTGCAGGAGGCTGCGTTGAAAGCGACGCAAGCCTAGAAAAATGGGTCGACGCACACAAGGTGTGAAAAGACACGCAAAGGAAACGCAACGGGGGACTTGAGTCTGCGTCGCTCTGAAAACACAGAAGCATAAACTAGGCTTGAGAACCACAGCTTGACTGTTGTGACCAAGAATAGAAACTGATCTGATCAAGATGACAAACATGGAAGTTAACCACTAATACCACTTTAATAGTGTTATTATTGCCTGTGCATTTTATATTCTATTGCCAATTGAAGGGTACATGATTCTCCCCAAGATGCTGTAGACAAACGCTAAAGAGGTTTTATTGCGAAGATCCCGACGTCATGACCCCCCCCAAAAAAAGCTTATTGATTCAGTGCTACTTCCTATTCAATACGAGCCGCTGTCTGCTACTAAAAACGTGCGTTTGACACAGTAATAAGAGAACACATTGTATATCTTTAACTCCAGAATGTAGCCTCTAAAGTTGCAATGCTGCTATTTGAAATGTCTAACGAGACCTTTCTGTCCTACAGGAAAAAACCAGCAGTCTGGATTTGTAATTAGCAAACATTTTATTAAGTGACAGATTAGTCCTTCTTGGCAGCAGCTTTCCTCATGGCAGCCAGCACGTTGCTCAGCTCCTCTCGCTTTCTCTTAGCGCGGATGTGGGTGCCGATCTACGGAGGGAAACCAGCAGCATGAGACGGACTCCAGATGAACTCTGCAGCACGTTCAAAGAACATTCTACCACAGGGGACCAACTCACCCTCTTCTTGATGAACTTGAGGGCTCTCTTATCCTTGGACACCTTCAGCAGCTCCATAGCTCTCCTCTCATACGGAGCGAAGCCGCACACCTCGCGGATCATGTCCCGGACAAACTTGCTGTGTTTGGTCAGACGCTGCAGAGGAAGGAAAGACGGAGCCTTTACCCATGATGCACTGTGTCTAACCGGCTGTTAGACGGCTGTCTAACCCTGTTGTGTTTCTGTAGCACACATTCCTCATCCAACTTTCAGATCAGACCCGTTGGCTCTGGATCCTGAAACCATTTCAAGACTTTCAGCACTCCGGTGAAGCTCCAACCGATGGCATGTTCTGGTCAGTGTAGTTTCTGGTGCCGGGTAATGAGCACTGGAACGGTTACTCGACAATGCAACATCCGTACCCGGCTCAGACAGTTCGGGTCTTTGTTTAGTTATCGACAACAATGACAATTTAACGTGCACAGGTCAAGAATCTGAGGAAATGAATGGTTTGTGTAACTTTACTATAGCAAAGTGGCAGAGAGAAACTGGAGTTGAGCAGTTTTCTACAGTACTGCTACCAAGTAACCTCTGGACCAGTCCCAGATGTGCACACCGCGTTCATTAGTTAATAAGCAAAGAAAACCGCCAGACCAGGAAGTGGCTCACAAACCTGATTCAACGTTGTCCGCGAGTTAATTATTAAAACAATGGACTACTGTAGCTCGACACTGTGTGTGGACGCGGCGCAGAGACGAGCTGAGCGCCTCATCCAGACGGAGCATCGCGATAAAGTTGGACCGAAGCGGCGCACCGGACCTCGCAGCAGACTCACCCCGCGCCGGCGGCTGTGTTTGGGCGCAGTCACGTTCTTGGTGACCGGGTGTCCTTTGTTGAGGCCAACGGCCATCGGGTAGCGGATCGCCATGTCTGCGGGGGACAAACAGGGTTACTGCATGCGCTGCGTAGGGCGGACACGTCGTGATGCTCCCGTGTGTTCAACAGCAGCCGTACGACATTATGGCCACACAACATGGTGCCGAGTGACTCCATCTCACTGCCAGCGGTACGATAGACAACGAGCCATGGACGGGTCTTATTACTTAGTCTTCGCACTAAAGGCACAACGCGCTGAACGGATGGAACATGGAGGCTGGTTCGTCACTGACGGAACACAACGGCCATCGTTTAAATTGCTTGGCTTGCTTTGTAATACAGGGCTCAGACGTTAAGTGAAGTCAATGGTTCACCATAGTTTACATTTATTGGGTAAAAAACAGACGGATGGCGGAGATCAGCCATGGATTTTAGCCTATATTTTTCAACAGTGAAGTCTTACCTGCTGTCTATGATGGCGGTCAAACCGGAAGGACTGCTCAAAGAGAGAGGCGGGGTTTAGAAAGGTTTGATCCGGAAGACACTTCCGGTAGAGCAGCGCCCCCACCGACCGGGAAGAGCTACTGCTGCTTCATGTGCGTGTGAGCCAATAAAACATAACATAAGAATTGTGATGTAAGTCTGAAGATATTCTCTTAAATCATTTATTTTGAATGAAATAAATCCTTTATTGATTGCGATCAAAACAATTGAAAGATTTTCTGGTAAAACCAAGTTGCTTTCATAGAATATTACTAACAAACGAAACTAGTGTTGACGTTTGTTTTAATGAACTAAATAAAGTTAGTAAACAAGTGATGGGGTATTTGTACGGAAGTACAATTGAACGTACGGCGTTTCTGTGGTTGCAGATCCTTAAGGATAATCTGGGTGCGGAGTGTGTGTTTTTTTAGATTTTTCAAACTAATATGAGCCGGTTTGTTTCGCCCATCATGCATTGCGGGACCGGAAGCAGGCGCTGCTTTTGGCGCGGTCTGGGTAGAGGCGTCGGCCATCTTGGTCTCACATCAGTGTTTCGGCGGCTTTTACTGTGAGACGCTGCATGAGCACCGGCTCATTGACCGACCTCGTACCGCCGATAAGGGGGATCCACTCGTTTGTTTACGCGCGCAGTACGCCCGTGTACCCGTACTGCTCACGCAGCGAAGAAGCGGACCTCGGATTGTTGAAAGAACCGTCATGGCGACAGCTACTCCAAGCCGCGAGGCTGGCCGGCCGGCGGCCTGCACGCCGCTCTCCCCGACCCGGATCTCTCGCCTGCAGGAGAAACAGGACCTGCAGCACCTCAACGACAGGCTGGCCGTTTACATCGAGCGCGTCCGCTCCCTGGAGCTGGAGAACGACCGCTTGATGGTCAAAGTGTCGGAGAAGGAGGAGGTGACTACTAGAGAGGTGAGCAGAAGCTGATCCACATGACGGAATAACGTGGATGGACGCATAGTGACTAGCCGCTGTCATGGCTGCCAGTTACCCACAATGCATCTGCGCACCGTGCCTCTCGATGTAACGTTAGTGGTCGGTAGCTTATTTTTCATATGTCACTATAATGCGAAAGACGGCTGTAGTATTAAATAAGTACACGCGCTGGTCCCTCCGGACCCGGAAGCTCCACGCGGCTCCTTCTGCGCGCCAATCGGACTCAGCGAGTCCATGTTTAGATCCCTGTGTGTGCAGCTGAGGAGACCATGAGACATTAGCGCCACATGTGGAAGTCCGCTGCTTACAGAAGCATTTTCAAACATGCTTTAATCCCCGAATTTAGATCACTGCTGTAGTTCAGTAAGCGCGCTGAGATCAGGTCCAAACCAACACTGCTTTTCAATTCATTTCTGTGTGTATTAGATTTATTAGTATGAATGTAGCTTAGCGAAGCCTTCAAAGTACCTCAATTGGATGTGCAAGAGGCTCCCCGCCTCTAGAGGTGGACACGCACCCATTGACTGCTGCAGGCGGCGGCCTGAGAGTCCCGATCCTGGTCCAGCAGCCCGCATCACATCTGAAGCCACTATCCGGAGATGGTGGATGTTGTGTCTGCTAACCACGCTGACCTTTCCCCTGTAGGTGAGCGGCGTGAAGGCCCTGTATGAGGCCGAGTTAGCGGATGCTCGACGGGTTCTGGATGAAACTGCCAGAGAGCGGGCCAGACTGCAGATAGACCTGGGCAAGGCGCAGGCTGACGTGGAAGAGGCCACGCGCAGGTGATTCAGACACAAAGCCGTCGGCCGACGCTCCGTGGCCTGGTCACATGGAGGGCAGCCATGGCTGACCTCTCTCTGTCTGTTCCAGTGCCAAGAAGAAGGACGGGGATCTGGCTGCGGCCGTGTTCAGGGCCAATGGTTTGGAGGGCCAGCTGCACAAGAGCGAAGCCGCGCTCTCTACCGCTCTGAGCCAGAACGCTGCTCTCACCTCTGAGCTGGCGGATGTCAAGAGCCTGCTGGCCAAGGTGAGCGGTGCAAAAGGGAAGGGAACCCAGTGTGCTTTTCATTAATAGCAATTCTCTAGACAATAATAATTGTAGAGGTTAAAAAAGAGACGGTCTTGGGGCCTAATTGAATGGTGGGGAACCACTGAATTCTCATTGCTAGTTTGAATACTACATTTTCTCCCTCTGTCATGTACACACTGAGATTTTACGAAATGTTTGGTCATGGATATCAAAATGTGTATGAACCCGTTTGCAGTACTCGTACATACCATTGGTACGTATGAGTGTCACAGCAGTGGTTACTTTCTAATGCCGCCTGAGGCCATCAGAACTCAGGCGGACTGTAGAACCCTTCGCAGGCCACTCGTTCTGTTCAATGTGTGGTGAGTGTCCATGTGCTAATGCTGCTTACAGGCAGAGGACAGCCATGCTGTTGCCAAGCGCCAGCTGGAGGCGGAGACACTGATGCGCGTGGACCTGGAGAACCGCTGTCAATCACTGAGTGAAGATCTGGAGTTCAGGAAGGGCATGTTTGAGGAGGTAAGCGTGTGTGGGTGGTTCAGTGTTTCCTTTGTCCACTATTATTCTTACAGAAATGGATGCGTCTCTGCAAGATTAGAAACCAACCTTCTGTGTACTATAAGTGCTCCTCCCCCGTGTGCAGGAGGTGCGTGAGTCTCGCCGCCGACAGGAGCACAGGGTCGTGGAGGTGGACTCTGGCGTCAGACACGACTACGAGTTTAAACTGGCCTCGGCTTTACAGGTATGTTGGCATGAGCACCAACCTGTCCGTACCTGCAAGCCCACGCCGTAGAACGTTCTGTAGGAGACACTCGCCCAGAGGGACGTCCGCAGAGACAAAGCTCCCGATTGTAATATTTGGTGTCATTTCCAACCTCGCCATGAAAGCATTCGCACTACACACGTTCCATGAAGACGGTTTAGTTGTGTGGCTGACTGTTAACGGAGGCGCTCTTACTAATGTCTGTGTGACCCCACCAGGACCTGAGGAGGCAACATGACGAGCAGGTCTCTGTGTACAAGGAGGAACTGGAGCAAACCTTCCAGGCCAAGGTGAGCGACGCGGCGCTGGTTTCATTTCATCGTCGTTGCCGCTCTGCATCACTCACACTCTCTCTTGCTGCCGCTCCAGTTGGACAACGCCAAAGTGTCCTCTGAGATGAATGACAAGGCCATGGGCTCGGCCAGGGAGGAGCTGCTGGAGTCCCGTATGAGAATCGAGAGCCTGGGCTATCAGCTCAGCGCCCTGCAGAAGCAGGTACTGCAGCTCAGCGTTGTTGTACTGCCCCTCGGCTCGCTGAAGGAGGACTCATGCTAGCGGGTCGCTCGTGTGTTGTCAGGCGGCTGCCTCCGAGGATCGCATCAGAGAGCTGGAGGAGATTCTGTCGACGGAGCGAGACAAGAGCCGCCGTGCCATGGAGGGGAAGGAGCAGGAGATGAGTGAGCTGAGGGAGCGGATGAACGCGCAGCTCAGTGAATACCAGGAGCTGTTGGACGTGAAGCTGGCTCTGGACATGGAGATCAACGCGTACAGGAAGCTGCTGGAGGGAGAGGAGCACAGGTAGGTCCTCCAGGTTCATGTATGAGTGCTTCCACCTTTCTCTTCTTCAATGAGCCGATGACGGTCAGCCAGACCCCACCTGGCCGTTGTTTGTGGGTTCATTCAGTACGTTTACTCGTGTTTTCAGCTCCTTCCTCGTAAAATGAGGTCACTGAGGTCAAACTATGCTTCGTTGCTATGGTCTCATTTCCTTTGTTCATAGCCCCGCCCCCTGATATACTGGCACGACCGCACACACCCGTATGATGGTGTGTGCATAACGCAGAGCGGTTCCACCGGTATGCCGCCCGGCCCCACAGGGAGCGTTGGGTTGTGTCGTGGACCGACCCGTCTGATCAACCATTGGGGGCCCTTGTTGGGCCGATCCATAACCAGGTGACTGGTTTGCCTGTTTCAGACTGAAGCTGTCCCCCAGCCCATCTGCCCGGGTCACCGTGTCCAGGCTAACGGGGTCTTCCTCGTCCCGCTCCTCCAAGAGGAAGAGGGTGGAGGCTAAAGGTGTGCCAGAGAATGCAAGAGGAGAGGGGCAGCTGCTGGTCTCTGAAGAAGCCACAGCCAGCGGCGCCGTCACCATATCACCCACTGACATGGACGGGAACGCAGTCACGCTGACCAATGACACGGCTCGGGTGAGTAAGCAGGCGGGTCACTGCAGGTAGACTAAAGCTCTCCATGTTGTAACGTTCTCTGTGTGCAGGACCAGCCGCTGGGGAGCTGGAGGCTGAAGAGACGCGTCGACGACGGGGACGAGGTCGTCTACAAGTTCTCCCCAAAGTTTGTCCTCAAGGCCGGACAGGCTGTCACGGTGAGGACAAGTGACTTTCTTTGCTGGGGCCGGTTCATGCCGGAGCCTTTGACCTCTGATGTGTCACCGTGTGCAGGTGTGGTCTGCTGACGCCGGCGTGGCCCACAGTCCACCGTCTGACCTGCTGTGGAAGAGCCAGACCTCCTGGGGCACCGGAAAGGACATGGTCACCACTTTGGTCGACGCTGACGGCGAGGTAAGGCTTCCCCGCCAGCCAGTCAGCTGCTTGTGTTGGAGTCATGTGGTCTGACTGCCTGTCCTGCAGGAGGTGGCCACGAGGAGCGTCACCAAGACTGAGGTGGAGGTTGAGAACGGAGATGATGAGGAGGAGGAGGAGGAGGAGGAGGAGGAGGCACAAACGGTGAGTTCCATTTCTATTGTGTGGGTTTGTCACTGGTCCATTTATCAAGTGCAGCGGAGGAAATACTGATATAATCCCACTGACAAAGGGAAGCCGTCAAGTGATTGGAATGGTTTATATGGGATATTAAAACCCCGAATGCAGATACTCCCCATGATGTGAACGTGGTGCATTGAATGTGAGGAACTCCGTACTCAGTTTGATTAAGTGTCCTCCTGTGTTGTGCGTCATTGTCGTGTTCAGGGACGGCTCTTTTAGATAGAATACCATTTGTCAGCAAAATCTTTCAGTAGTAGTTATAATACATTTTATTTATATAGTCAAACCAGCACTGCTGTAGCCATAAAACAAGCATAAGAAAAACCAGTTACACTCAAGTGAAAAACGTGGAACGCTAATCTGAAGAGAATCGCTCGACATTGTGTCACTTTCATTTCGACAATTAGCGTTTCACTACGCACAAAAGTCCGATTTTATTTATCCTTTTAGGCACGTTTCCCTTTGACGAGCTGTAATATTACACAAATATAACGTTATGCAATAATTGATGTATAAATGATGATTTTATTTCATTAACGTTCAATCAATGTATGCTTTAGGGCCCCACTAGAGGCCCCCCCCCACCTAGGCGGTCTCCGTGCAGGGCGGGGCTGGGGGAGGAGCTTGCTGAGTGCTCCTCAGTTTGCACAGCACGTCGCAGGGACACATGATGTGACTTCATGCTAAACGTTTCCTCTGACGATGTAACGCTCTGTGCTCCTACAGGGGAAGGTGTCCTCCAGAGAGTGTGCCATCATGTGAAGCCGCCCCGTCCCCGCTCTGCATAGCGTTTGTTTGTTTTCCTCTGGAGATGCCACATATGATCTGTGCACTTCCTCACCTCTGTTTTTACTGTTCAGGGCAGCATAATAATGTTGGACTCTTGGACTCTGCATTTGTGGACCCAATCATGATGAATACTAGAAGCGATCCTCCCTGTCTGCCGTTCATTCGCTTCACATCATAACTTTAGTGTTGAACAAACAACGTACAACTTTTAACAAATTTGGTCTCAGAAAAGCGCTTTTCCTCCCTAATCAAAGCTTTACGTTTTTTCCATTAACTTTTTAGTGTGGTTCCCAGATAGATTTCTTTTGTTTGTCTGTTTTCCCCCCGTGTGGCCCAACATCTGAAATCCCAGCTTTCCAGCTGGGGGGGGGGGGTGGAATTTTAATGATGCAGTCATGTGCACAACTGCTTTTAAAATGTGTTTGTTCAATGAGTCCAAAGAGCTCTGACCCTCTTAGCTGAGGTCCAGACCGCCTCCTGGCTTCTGCGAGGTGGGACGTCCGTCTAGGTGTTTCATGGGAGGACATGCAAACGTCATTCCTCTGTAGAGCAGTGCAGGATGAGCGGTGATTCCTCCGGGGGAGACCAGTGGCCCCTGCAGGGTGCTGTGGGTGTGTCCCATGTGACGGCACGGCGCTGTACTCCCATGCAGAGCGGGAACGTGTGTGCCATTTGATTCTAATGTGTGTACGCAGTGCTCTACATTGCTAGTTATTTTTTATAGAGTGCTCAAATATGTAATCAATTTTTTACACAGTATACTTCATTTCTTATTTTAGTGTTTTATTACCTTCTTAAGATACTGAGCGCTGCTGCTGCAGTGTTAGACTGACGGATGTGATCCGGCGGGCCGTACGTGTCCTGGGGGTCAAGTCCCTCCAGGTAACGTGCACAACAGTTCAGTATACGTTTCAAATGAGCAACCTCTTCATGACAGCTGGAAGTAGCATCCAGAAGGCAAATGAAGAGTCAACACTAACACGCAGATTGGTAAGCACACTTTAATGCTGAGGTGCCCTTTAAACTGAAATGATGTATTGTCCCTGGAGGGGCCGTCCCATGACCCGGTCGGACCACTTCTACATTCTAGATGTTACTTTGATGTTTCTGCTTAACTCCTTCATGGTTAACTACTTTTTGTACACAATAAATGTTTTACATATACAAAGTTGGTGTCACTAGTTGTTGTTATTGGTGCAAGTGATCCCGTCCGGCCCCTCTGATGATCCAGGAACACTGAGGGCCACCAAACCCCTTGTTTTAAAATAATATTGTAAAATAAGTACATGTTACCTCACTTAACCCAGGCGGCAGGGTCCCATTCTTCTTCTCACACCCTGGGGTCCCTCTGAGCCCACCTTGCTCATGGGCCCAGTCGGCCTGCTGCTTTTCCTCATGCACATTGTTCGTTCGTTTTAAGGTTTTAGGTGCAGATATATGATACAGTACCCATCTTTATCATTTGTTTAGCAGTTTGGTTGGGTTGTTTAATGACACGGTTCCATATTGTGTTGGAGTTGAGAGTGATTCCTATAAACTGTCCCCTCTACGCACACATCTGAAGCTCAAACTCCGACATCACGTCAATGAACACCGACCAGGAGGGAGGACTACAACCCGCCCTACTCCGCCTCTGATTGGCTGATGGTTGCTACCCTCTTTGGTCTGATTGGTTGGGCTCTCCCGGGTAAGCCAATGACAGGCTGCGTAGGGCGGACTTTGGCCAAGTGGTTTCCGGGTTGGCGGACGTGTCGGGGTCCAGGCCGTTCAGGATGCTGCTGGTTTTGTCTGAAGAACATAAAGAACATCTCTCCTTCCTGCCGAGAGTTGACTCCGCAGGTCAGTGGCTGGTCCCGGATCAGTACCACGACCACATGTGGGCCGCTTAGCGGTCGACAAGTGGTTGTCCGCTGACCACAAACGAAGAAAGTCGTCCGCCATTATTAGTACAACTTGCACTCCGCGTGAGTACTGCGGCTCTTAGTGCACCTGTATGCAGACATTTACGGTATTAACGCAATAACAGCCATTCAATCAATGACTGAAGTATGTGTGTTCAGGACCGATCATAATGACATATTTCTACTCTACCACTTACATCACATGTCATTTAGCTGCCACTTTTATCCAAAGCGACTTACAATAAGTGCGTTTCAACCATAAAGATACAAACTCAGAGCAAGAAACAAAGTGCAATTTCCTCAAATAACCCAATTTACAACTTGCTATAGGTGAGTGGCATAAGTCCAATGTAAGTGCTCCAGTTAGTGTGTTAGTGGAGGTAGACTCTGAAGATGTGAAGGCTCTCTGTGGTCCTGATGTCTTCAGAGACCTCCTTCCACCATTTAGGAGCAGGACAGCAAAGAGTGGAGATCTAGTCGAGTGTTTTGCTCTCAGTGAGGAGGAACAAGCAGTTTATCACATGCAGAGCGGAGAGTGCGGGTCGGGGTGTCGGGTTGGACCAGGTCCTGGATATAAGCTGGACCCCATCCATTCACAGCCTGGTACGTGAGCACCAACGTTCTGAACTGGATGAGCCACCGGTACCAGTGAAGAGAGCGGAGGAGTGAGGGAGAACTTAGGAAGGTTAAAGACCAGTGGAGCTGCTGCATTCTGGATGAGCTGCAGAGGTGGAATGGTGGTAGCAGGAGACCTGCAGGAGAGAGTTACAGTAGTCCAGGAGGGAGACGACAAGAGCCTGAATCAGTACCTGCGCTGCCTTCTGAGTGAGAAGAGGACGTGTTTTCCTGATGTTGTAGAGCGTGTATCTACAGGATGGTGTTGTCAGTGATGTTGGGAGTCAGGGAGAGTTGACTGTCGATTATGACGCCGAGGTTCCTAGCGGTTAAAGTGGGCGTTAACACAGAGTTGCCAAAGTTGACAGTCAAGTCCTGGGTCGGAGAATCTTTTCCTGGAAAAAGAAGTAGTTCAGTCTTGTCGGGGTTGATTTTCAGATGGTGGGCGGACAGGCAGAGATACGTGCCGCTAGTTGGGTGTCATCGGCATAGCTGTGGTAGGAGAAGCCATGCGAGAGAGAGTTGTTGTAGAGCGAGAAGAGAAGAGGACCCAGGACGGAACCCTGAGGAACTCCAGTAGTAAGAGGACAAGGTTCCGACACAGATCCTCTCCAGGTTACCCGGTAGGTGTGGCCGTCGAGGTACGACGAGAGAAGGGAGAGAGCAGAGTCTGTGACACCAAGTTCCTGAAGGGAGGAGACAAGGATCTGGTGGTTGACCGTGTCAAATGCAGCAGAGAGGTCCAGAAGGACGAGGACAGAGGAGAGAGAGGAGCTCTAGCAGTGTGGAGTTGCTCTGAGACAGCGAGGAGAGCAGTCTTTAAGAGATTTCTTAAATAAAATGTGTTCATTTTATTCCAAAACAATGCTTTTCTGTAAAGACTTTAACAAACACACATTGGAATTGGTGAGAAACGTACACTCAAAACGCCAGTAATATTCATAAATTAGTTTTTGGTACTGTAAAAATGTCTAATTCTCAAAGTACTAAGCGAGACTTGTCCTGTGTGGGTGTATATATATATATATATTTAGAGAATCATACCATATAAATCTTTCCCTTTCAGCATAAGAGTAGTTGGAGATTCATTATTAATCATTGTATATTAGTTATATTGAGAAAGGATCTTTCTAAACATACAAATGTGACTTTTACTTTGGAGCATCTCTAAATCCTTTTCTGTATCGTAGTATTCCGAGAGGTCCTTAACACATGTATGAGAATTATTGAGAAAAGTCCTTTTATTGCAGCTCAGATATTGAGAAATAAGCTTTTTGAACCTGCAAATATAGGATTTTTACTTTAGAGAAATCTCTAAATGTGTAAAGTTAAGGAGTAGACCGAGAAGTCCTGAACACACATGCATCAGTCCTTGTCTGGAACTGTGGATTAAATAGCGTTTATTCAGGTCAGTAAATGGCGGCATACCGGTGCACTAAAAGCCGAGTCCTTGCTGAGTGGACCGCAGTGTTCCATTTCTCCTTATAGCCAGAAGCTCAACGGACCAGCACAATACGCCTCACAAACATGATAAAAGAAATGTCGTCCTAAACATTTAATCCTGCTAATTCGATAAGATTTGGGGTGTTTCTAGTATACCGTGGTCTGTCTGGTGTTTCTGTGTTCTGCTAATATGTGACAAACGGGAGGTCCTCAGAGAGCACGGCCCCTCAGACGCACGATCACGGGGTCCCTGAATGTGATGGGAACACACTGATTTAGTAAACTGAGCGTGTGTGTGTGTGTTTTCTCCTCAGTGGTTGGGGAGTTTGGTCGCATAGCGCTGGAGTTTTTGAGGAGAGGAAGCAGTCCCAAGATCTATGAAGGAGCAGCCAGTAAGACGTGCACCTACCATGCCGCTGATTGGTCCATCTTTAGTGAGCGCCGTGGACTCTAGTGGACGCGTCATCTGCAGTATGCATACACTTCAGCTGCTTGCCCGTTTTGCATATTTGTCACACACATATGTTTCCGATCCTCGTAAATACAAAATGCATTTTTTAATGATTTAATTCATTAGAGCAGGTGCCTTCAACGTTTGTCAGGCCAAGGTCCCCCGTACTGATGGCGAGATGGAGCAGGGACCCCTGGGTTTGGTCCGCCATCTTTTATTTTTGAGCTTTGCTGTGGAGGAATCCTGACCCACTCTTCTTTGTCTGAATTCAGCCCCATTGGAGCAGAACCGGCCTGTTTAAGGTCGAGCCACAGCATCTCAACCAGACTTTGAGTAGGCCACTCCGAAACCTTCATCCGGCTCCGTCAGAACCATTGAGAGGTGGACCTGCTGGTGGGTTTGGGACCATTGTCCTGCTGCAGAACATAAGTGCTCTGGAGCTTGAGGCCGGATATCCTCCTCCAGGATTTTCTGGTTCCATCAATTACAGCTGAAGCTGCCAAGCAGCCCCACACCATCGCGCTCCCCCCACCACGTGTAGCTGATTTTATGAAATGCTTTGTTACTTTTACACGAGACGCACACCCGTTGGTCTCATCTGCACAGTTCAGCACAAAAGATGTTTTTTGGCGAATGTGTGACAAGCCGTTGTTTTCTTCTTGGTCAGCAGTGGCTTTCTCCTTGGGATTCTCCCATGGACGCCATGTTTGCCCCGTCTCCTTCCACCTCGACCTTACCTGAGTTGGGTTCTTTTAGGACCTCCCATACGAGTCCTCGAAGCACTCAAGTTTGGAGTGACTTTGGTGGGCATTCCCACATTTTGGGCCGGCCCCAACTGGGAAGGTTCCCCACGGTTCCAGGGCGTCTCCGTTTGTGGATGGTGTCTCTCTCCGCTTCTCTGGAGTTTAAAGCCGTAGAAATGGCTTTGTAGCTCTTTCCAGACTGACGTATGTCAATGACTTTGTTTCTCTGCCCTTCGCAAATTTCGCGTTATCGTGTGTTATTTTTTGAGATCTCAGATTTCAGAATTCATTAACGGGGGGGGGTTCTTTCTCGCACCGCTCGTTAGCTTGTTAGCTCGTTGTGGCTGCTGGTGTTGCCACCAAAGTTAAGTCCCTTAAAATACGGAATCGTTCCGTATTTGAGAATAAACTGTGAATCAAGGCGGGACGGGGTTGGTCCCGTATTGTCTGAGTTGTCTTCAATGCAGCATCCCGTGCAGAAATAATTCTCTGAATATTGGTTTCCTCCAAACCAATCAGAGCCAGAGGAGGGCGGGTCTCTTGGCGGAGGCATCTCCAGATTCCCCCCCGACGAGAGTGGGAGGAATCAGCGGGGAGTCCCACCCGTCCTGCAGCGCCCCTTTTTTATAAATGTACAATTGTTAGTGTTACAAATAGTTTGTGTCACTGGCTGTTAAAGAGTCTTTGTTGTGCGTTATTCATTGTTGTTGTGAAGTTCTAACAATGACCTACACACAAAAGACAAGTAGCTGTGACAGCCGTGCTCCTCCATGACGTGTAGAATAACCTACCGACTGCTAAAGAGCAACGTTGGTTGTTGCGGTGTAGCACCGGTATGGACGCTACGTGAGAAACCCGTGTGCCGTTTGGGTTCGGCTGCATTTTGTATTTACTTGGTCTTATATGAAACTGTGTTTGATCCAAAACATTTAAACGTGACAAAGATGGCGAGAACATGAGAAAGAAGACCACTTTTTCACAGCCCACTACATGTACGCTTCTAAACGGCATGAAGTAGAAGTAGCAGTGATCCGCTCACAGTCAGCTCTGCAACCAAACACCATCTGTTCATGATGGAGTGCATTTCAATCCTCCATCAGTAGCTTAAAGAGACGGATGACCGTGTTCCTCCTGGTGGCTCTATGGCGGCAAATCACTGTCACAATTTGAGAGCGTAAATCAGGTTGATGCGCGCGCGTAAATCAAACATCCGCCAGCAAAAGTCCGTCTCGAGCGAGGTATCTGCTCGCTCGCGGAGCGTGAACTTCCTCGCTCGTGAGGTTAGTCTCTGCTCGCGCTCCACGGTGGTTTTTTGACAGTAAGGGGGCGGAGCCAGTCACCATGGTCTCTACACCTGATTGGTTACAAACCCAGTGTTTGGATTGGCTGGAGTGATGCATTCACAAAACTATAGAAGCCCATTTCCGTACTAATGTAAGGGGATAAGAAGTCGAAATTATGAGATAAAACGTTGTGAAAAAACTAACGCCCCCCTTCGGTAACCGTAGTGGAGCGTAGACGACAACCAGCCACAAGCAGCAAGAGCAACGCGTCCAGCTGGCAGCCCGGTCCGTCAGTCTGAATCTGAATATCTAATAACTTTACCGAACTATGGAGGAGCCTGCGCATATCTTGTATATCACATTCACTACAACCTCATTGTTTATTTTTTTCAAAAAGTCGATCGGTATTGAAAGTTGTCAAGATATTCACAGATTCGGACTTCATTCTACCACTACGGACCGGGCTGCCAGCTGGACGCATTGGTCTTAATGTGCCGGTAATGATGGTTGTAGCTGGTTGTCATCTACGCTCCACTACGGTTACCGAAGGGGGGGCGTTAGTTTGACAACGCGAGACGGATGTTTGATTTACGCGCGGGCATCAACCTGATTTACGCTCTCGGATTTGGACAGTGATTTGCCGCCATATGGCTCGTGCTCAGTGATGTTCGTGATGACCACAGCAGACCTGCATGACCTCAGTGTGCCGCTGCTTGCAGGGAAGCTGTGCGTTCCGGTGGAGACGGTGCAGCGTGGAGTGGAAGGCCTGATGTATCTGATGACCGAGAGCTCCAAACACATGGTGACTAACACACACGTGTATCTGTGTTTGTCATGGGAGAGGTTCACAGGCCGCTGCAGCTTCACCTGAAGGTGATTAGAGGAATTAGCACAATCCAAATCCAGGGTTACAGGTGTGTGTTTGGCTTATGGTTGGACGCTTTTCTTTTAGCCGTCACTATGTGAGGCCTCGCTTTGCCAGTGCCCTTGTCCGTGTCCGGGTGTTCATGACGGTCATTGTGACAATGACATTGAAGGATGTGTGCTAGCTCGCTATCGGCGTACCCTTGGACACTAAAACCCCCTGAAACAAGTGTGTCCCATATTTACCAGTGAGGCCAACATTAAGATGTGTGTGTGTGTGTGTGTGTGTGTGTAGATCTCTAAGGTGGATTTCCTGGACTCGGTGTTGGTTCTGGGCTTTGGTGAAGAGCTCAACCAGATCCTCTTACAGGTACTGACTACCTTCTGTTGGATGTGAGATGATGATGGGAGTCCAGCTCAGTGTGTGAGGGTTTATGTTGCAGCTCTACCTGCAACACCACAGTGAAATCCGCAGCATTCTGAGTCAGCTGCCCTCCAACCTGCCCGGCTACCACAACCTGGAGTGGAGGCTGGATGTACAGGTGCGTCTGCGTTTCATTCATCGCTGCTTAATCATCTGCCTTGGATTTTAAATGAAGAATGAAGGTTATATTTCCTTACGTTAACTTGTTCTACTCGGCTATCTTTTTGTTTGTAATTTGTTTTGTTTGTAGTTTGTCAATTAATTGGTGTTTAGTTACTAAGCACCTTTCCACCAGCAGGACTTGTGAGCCTGCAGGTAAGGAAGGAGGAGAGGAGGAAGCCAGGGTACAAAAGCGTTGCAAACGACAGTTAGGTCAGGTTATGTTGTCATTACATTGACACTGAAGACCACCATCATTGTCCGTCCCACAACATGAGCCATGTGTCGGGAGCGGAGATGAAGCTGTTCCCTGAATGGAGGTGAATGGGTTTGCTTCAGCATCCACATTTGTCCCCCTGGCAGCTGGCGAGTCGTGCGATCCGTCAGCAGGTGGTCCCCGTGCTGACGATGCGCCTGCTCCTCACCGGAGGAGGTGACGGCACCGGTGAGCTCAGCAGAAGGGTTCTCCAGACGGACCCCGGCACCCTCCTGCACCTCATCTCCACCCTGGAGGGGGCTCTGGCTGCCATAAAAACCAATCACGCGCGGCGCATTTTCCGCAACATCAAATGAGCACAGGTGTGTTCACGCGCGAGCTGCCTCTGCTGTGACCGACCACGCGTTGCCTTCAGCCTTCTGCTCTGCTTCTGGATGCTGGACTCCTGATGGTGTATTAAAGTGTTAGACAACATGAAAGTTGCTTCTTGTGGTTTGTTCAGCATCAGTGGAGACTGACTCAACACTGTATCAACATCTCCTAGTGGCTACTACCCCGTCACAAGCATCAACATCTGATCAGCTCAAACACCACAAGGAGTTCCCCAGACCACCAGTCACCATTCCTCCATCCATTGGATCATGTGGCTGGAACAGGAGAGTCTCTTCGCGGATGTGCATGGTGCTTTCATGTATACGTCATATATTCTATGTGGCATAACTAGTAGCAACCTAGTGGGAATAAACAGCATATTTATTTCAGTTTGTGCGTTGTTGCACTGACTTTGCATTAGACGTAGTAGGTGCTTTATGGTCACCCATTGGTTAGGACTGTAGGGGAGTTCTATGCGGCTCCTGTGGTAATAGCCTCGCTCTAAAGCAATAATAATAATCTAACTCAAATGAAACCCAACTCACTAAATGAGCATCACGCTGTGTTGAAGAAGACTTGAAACTAGAGACAGACCATAAACTCATGTTTACGATGTTTACTGAGGGAATAAATCAAGAGAGAAGTAGAGTCATTTTCTCATAGACTTCTATGGGAGCAGAGGAGTCGCCCCCTGCTGGTCACTGCACAGAATGCAGTCACTTAGCTTTGTGATACCCAACTGTTCACAAGCAGCATGCTATGAAATACAAACAACTATATTTTTGTTTGTAGACATTCATAACATTAAGACCCTAATTGCCAGTCTAAATCTGTATCAGGTAGAAGCCGTCTTCCTCTCCACATCATCCACAAAGCGACTACAATATGAAACCACATAGTAATACCATTTGGGGGAACACTATTAATGTTATTGCCAGATTAAATGAGATCAATTATGAGGGAGTAAGTGTAAAAGATATCAACAGTTTTCTGATAGGAACATTTTTGCAGAGAGGGTCCGCGTAGATCGGGACCGACCATCACCACTATCGTGCCAATAATAAACCAATACGAGGCAGCACACCTGTCTCGTGAGACGAGGAGGAGGAAGTGGGGTCAGGCATCACGTGATCGTCTCAGCTCCACACAGGAAGTCTGCTGGCCGATTCAACATGGCCGCCGTGTGCGAATAGAGCAGGATCGCGAGTGGCGAGATGATCTAGTCGGCGTTCTGCGTCTACAGGACAGTTGACTCGGTTCGGTGAGCTAGCCGCGGTGGACACCGGTCCGACATGGCCCAATGCGTGCAGTCCGTGCAGGAGTTGGTCCAGGACTCGTTTGTTCCGATGGTGGCCGTCTTATGCAGCGAGGAAGCGGAGAGAGTGACTCGCAAGAACAACCTGAATTTCGCTGAGCTGCTGCGGCCTTTCTGCAGACTGACGTCCGAAGGTAAGCTGCCCGCTCCCCGCTCCCCGGCCCCCGGGCCTCGGGACGGGGCGCCGGGGAGACAGTTCGCCCCTGTAGCCTGTGGAGCTAGCTGCGGGCTAACCGAAGCTAACAGACTGGCTGTGTGTTCGGACCGGAGGGGAGGGGGGGGGGGTCCAGACTGACACCGGACCAACGCGCGACATATTCGGTCTATTAACGGTTCCGGTTATCGGCTGACGGGCTCCGACTCGTGACGGCTTCCTCTGCAGAGCCGTGCACCCGATAACACGACAACACGACAACATGATAATGTGACAACACGATAATATGATAACTTGACAATGTGATCTGCGAGCCGTGGCATCACATCACCACGTCAACTCTCGGGTCCGAACTTTTTCTGACCCGATCGTCCCGCTTCACGATGCGTGTCAGATTCTTCTGTTCCGTTTGGCAGGACGACGCGTGAAAAAGCCACGTCGACCTTTTCACATCTGTGATGAAAACGACACCGTTAAAGGACTAAACTCTATCAAAGGGGTCATCGCTAAGGCCCGCCCCTTTTGCTCTGCGCTCCAATGGGAGTTGAGCAAGCTGAACCTCGGTAGACTTTAGCCGTTTCCTGTTTCCTCAAAGGTAACTACTGTATCTCCATGGATACATCACATCCTGGCTAGCCAATGTTAGCAGCGTGCTATCACATCTAGCTATGGCTAAGTTACACCAAGAGGAGCTAAAGCCAGCCTGCCGTCTTATTTCTGGACTGGTTGGTTGCCGGTTGTTTCTATAACGTGCAGACGGAACACGCGTCTTAAAAAGCCTTTAATTATGTTGTCGCCTCTTCTCCAGGTCACATCCGGGACCCCAGTAACCAGGTGCAGCTTGTGAAAAACCTGCGCATTTGTGTCAACAATGTAGTGACAAGTCCAAACCCGGCGTGTGCTGCCTTCAGCCCCGCTCAGCGCCGCCTGCTCAATGAGGTGGTGTCGTCCTGCCAGCCCCAGGAGGGCGCGGCGACCAACGTCATCACGGCCGGCGACTACGACCTCAACTTCAGTGGTAAGAGCTGCATTCCAAACCACACAGGATTCATTTAGCGAGAAACGCAGACTACAGTGTTGCTGCCGGCCGCTGGGTCAGATTGGCTGCTACGCGCTGGACGCCGCCGATGGCTCGCGCTCAGAACGTGTGTGTGATGTCATCAAACCCACAACAAAGGGACCGTTTAGAGAGAATAAAGGCAATGAATTATCTGACAGCAGACATAGACGGACACGTCGCTCTGTAAGGACCCAATATGTCTGTTGGTTCTGGTTCTGAATGCACCAACATCATGCTTATGTGAATGTACTTGATGATCTTCTAATTGAGGAGCAGGTCCTCTCCTCTGATGCCTGGTGACACTTTTTCATTTACCTGCTTTTATTTCAAATAAAGATTACTCATTGTGTCGCCCCCCTCATAGAAAGACGGGAGGTCCAGATGTTCTCCTACGCCGCTGGTTTCACTACTACTAACAATATGTTATTGTGTGGAAACCAAACAGTCAAATTCTTACAGCGTCATGCGTTTTCAGGTTAACATTTACAAATACAACAGTCATACAGATTGTTGTCAAAAGAATCCATTAGATTCCACATCTGTCCACGTGCGGCGTGTTCAGCGCCACGCGCCCCCAGGAAGTCATCAGCACTCCTCTTCCTCTGGCTGCCCTGCATTTAAAGAAGGGCAGATGTCACATGGTATCATGTATACAAAGACCAACATCACACGTCATTCCTCAGAGTCTGGATAGAGGGCCGGATGGGTACCGGTTCCTTTAGGACTCACTCGCAACACGGTTTTCGCTAACTGAGCCAATTGAAACTCTTAGTTTTGTTGCACTCGTCCTGGCAGCAGCTAACGATAGCTTACCTGAAGCATGACGTCAATCCAACATGAGTGCTTTTCAATAAATATTATGGATCCTTAGTTTCTGCACAATGACAATAAATCTAAAATGAAATGATTAATATTCCCCAAATTCCAATGAACCAATAGATACACTTTGGCTCTCAGAGGGGAAACACTGTAAACTGGTAATATATTGTTCATAGTTTGAAGCCAGATGTGTATTTATAGTAATATATTGTTCATAGTTTGAAGCCAGAGGTTTATTATTTATAGTAATATATTGTTCATAGTTTGAAGCCAGAGGTTTATTATTTATAGTAATGTTCATAGTTTGAAGCCAGAGGTTTATTATTTATAGTAATATATTGTTCATAGTTTGAAGCCAGATGTGTATTTATAGTGATGTATTGTTCATAGTTTGAAGCCAGAGGTTTATTATTTATAGTAATGTTCATAGTTTGAAGCCAGAGGTTTATTATTTATAGTGATGTATTGTTCATAGTTTGAAGCCAGGTGTTTATTAGTTATAGTAAATAATAATAGTTTTAGTGCAGTATCGACCCAAACAATACTCCTCCCTGGTGCCGGTGGCTGCTTGCTTTGTTAACCTGGTGATGTCACCATGTTCACACAAACAGGAATTTACCAGATGTGTTGGATATTCTGATATTCTGACACAATACAAAGTGACTGTTCCTTTATGACATTAATGAAATAGAATTGAGTGAAGTGAAACCTGTTATGGCGAAGTTAAAGGCTCCTGCGTGTGTGTGTGTGTGTGTGTGTGTGTGTGTGTGATATTTACATGCACTGATCACACACACACTGACCCATTGATGAGTCTACGGAGCAGCTCGTTGGCGCTAACCCATGCTGCGGTGGGATTGGCCGGTCTACCTACAGGGGGCGGGGTTTCCTGGGTTACTTTCCACAGTTTGCGTTAACAATGTAAGTGCTCTTGTTGAATGAAGACACCTGGTTGCTAACACTAGCGCTGGCTGTCTGCTTCCACCTATCAGATCACTGTGTTAAAGCTAGCGTCCCGTGGTACAGTGCCTGGAGACAAACCCTGTCTGAAGTCAGCACCTCCAAGCACTACACAGGTATCGCTGCGTCCTCCTAGTGTCCTCTGGCTGTCTCTCAGCGCTTTGTTTCCTTCACACCCTGCATAGACCTGTCCCCACACATGTCCACAGAGGGACCACGTGTCCTCTCAGACACTCACACAATGTAGTTCAGAGCTTCATCCCTGTCAGTCCTCCTGAAAGCTGCTTCTCCTTCCTCCCGGGTCGCAGGGCTTCTCTTCACTTTCTACTACACATATTTCTGTCCAATTTCAATCCGACTGCATTCCCTGGCTTAATGCCCAGTGATGGCCTATGAGTGAAGACATGTATTACTTTAAGGAAAAGGTGACATCATTTGACCGTCATTAAGTATGTGCGCTCTAAATGAATGGATCCACAGCTGCTCGGCCCACCTCATGCGTCGCCCTTCACAACAAAGCTGCAGGAAGAAGTAGTTTGAGTGTTCTGGTGTTTATGCAGATCGGAGATACAACATGAGCTCATTAACCTCTGCAGCCAGAATCCAGGAGACTCCACCTTCAGCTGTGGGGTGAGGCGGAGGGCTCCAACGCCTCCGATACATTTAATTCCCTTCAGAAAGCGCTGAATTTGTCCACCTCTTTAAAGAAAGGACAGCAACAGAATTATGTTGAATTCCCAAACCTGTTGATACCGTAGCAAGTAGACAGAACCAGCAAGTTCGTTAGTTGTATTCAGCACCGTGGACTCTCTATGAAGGAGGGTGCTTAGTTGTACCCGCGTATGTTCATACAGCTGATAGCATCCATCATGTGGATCCACCTACATGTCGCTGTATCCTCTCATTGAGTTGCCCGCTGAGGCTTTTATGGTGACTGGTAGGAGCTGTGTTCCGCTGTTGGTGTCGGAGAGGTGTGAGCAGCAAGTGGTCGTCCACCTTGTTTCATACGGCGGCGTCTTGTTGTCATAAGTATGAGAACAGCTGATAACTCCACAGTACACGAGTGCCACGCTTCACCTGCTGCTTTATGGAGCATCTGCAGAGCGCTGCACATGGCAGCCTCTTCCCGCCGCAGGCCGCCGCCGGGTGTCGGGGGGGTCGGGTGCCATGGCTGCAGAGTAGAGGCTCAGATGGCAGAGCGCTGCTCGTCTGCTCCTCATGTTGTCTCTGTGTTCCCAGCCACCACGCCCTGGTTTGAAGCCTACAGGGAGAACTTCCTGCAGACGATGGCCGCCTCCGAACACGAGTTCCTCAACCACTACCTCGCCTGTATCCTTCCGCAAGGGAAAAAGAGTTTGACCTGTAAGGTGTAACACATGCTAATACACAGATGTGGATTCAGATGTTGCAAACGAGCTCCCAATGTGCGCCTCTGGGATTGAGTACAGCCTGTCTGTGCTGCTACGTTAGCTTCTCCTCCAAAGGTCTGGACAGGGTGAATATCCCGACGGGAGCTGCGATCAGTAATCTCAAACCCATTCAGAATCAATAATCCGTTGTTTGGACAGGTGTAGTAGGACTGCGCTCGCGTGGAGGCCCCTCCCCCCCCCCCCCACCGCTTGCTCCACTAGGTTGTAGGTCCTTGACGCTCTGGTCCTCACAGGCCTGCTGGTGGTGTCCTCCACCGAGACAGTCCCTGTGGAGCAGTTCCTCAAGCTCTCCCAGGAGCAGCACAGGATCCAGCACAGCGGCGACTACACCAACCCCAAGTGGTTCATCCCCAACACGCTCAAGTACTACGTCCTGCTGCACGACATGGGCGAGGGCGGCGAGCAGAGGTACTGAGCGGAGCGCTCCTCGCCTGTTGTGTAGTCCGTGCTGCCTTTGCACAAAGCGCTAGACCTCTGTGTGGCTCCCTCCCCAGGGCGGACGCCGTGTACGAGGATATGAAACAGCGGTACGGTCACCAGGGCTGCTACCTGCTGAAAGTCAACTCTCGTAGCTCCTCTGCTGAAGACGATGAACAGATGCCGGACCCCTGGAGTCAGTACCTGCACAGGAGCAACATGCAGAACCAGGTGAGTGCTGCACTGATTGTGGGTCTGATCGTCTGTGGTGTTCTGTGGAATAATGGGCCCTGTGTTGTCATGGGGACCCGTTGCAGGAGGATGAAGATGCAGCTGTGAGCAGTGGTCCTGCTGAGAACAACACCAGTGCAGCTGAAGTGGACAAGCATCACGCGACAGAGAAAGGTCTCCTTCTTCTTACATGTTGTTCCTGCAGGTTTTCTATCGCATGGTACTTTGGTAACTACTTGGTGTTTTAACCAACGTTACTTTGAATCTGTCCAGAAAATGACCCACGAGCATCAGAGAGAACCGTCACGTTCCACACACACACTCACAGATCATGTTCAGTGTGTTCAGTCTCTCTGCTCCTGGCTGATTTGGTCTCTGACATCAAAGGCATCTCTGTCTTGATTGTTTCTGCACCGTCGACCCCCAGACGGAGCCTCCACCGGCCTGGAAGGTCACCCTCTGCAGCTGGACACAGCGAGCAGCCCGGGCAGCCTGCACGCGCTCAGCGCCGAGCAACCTGAGCTGAAGAAAGGAGGCAGGGATCCAGAGAGCCTGGTGGGGGCAGCAGGGAGCCACGGGGCCTGTCTGACGCTGAATGACCACGACCACATCAGGCAGTTCATCCAGGAGTTCACCTTCAGAGGCCTGCTGCCGCACATAGAGAAGAACATCCGCCAGCTGAACGACCAGGTGCAGCTCCAGGCCCGATCCGTCCGTAACATACAAGGCAGCACTTCTATAGCTCTCTTCTTTACAAAAGTATAAATACAAACAGAGGCCTCCAGGTTAACGGGTGTGTATTTGCTCAGGGTTCACCTGCAGCCAAGTCGCAAGGGTCATGCTAGACCACCTCCAGCCCCCCACACACAGCTCAGCTAACAACATGTCCTCTACCTGTCCGTCCACAGCTGGTCTCCAGGAAAGGTCTGAGTCGCTCTCTGTTCACGGCCACCAAGAAGTGGTTCGGAGGAGGGAAAGTTCCAGAGAAGGGCGTCAGTGAACCAAAGAGCACATGTGGCCTCCTGTAAGGACCCCCCCAGTCTCACGTATTCACGCCTTCACCTCACCACCGTGAAGACTAAATACATGCCGGTTTAATGTCTCGTCAGGTACCCCCCAGAAGCCCCTGAGCTGCAGATCAGGAAGATGGCTGACCTGTGCTTCCTGGTCCAGCACTACGAGCTGGCCTATAGCTGTTACCACACGGCCAAGAAAGACTTCCTGTCGGACCAGGCCATGCTGTATGCCGCAGGAGCCCTGGTGAGGACGCACGCTGCTACACACGGTGCCCCTGGGCCTTAATGGTATCTGTTACTTTAGATGCCAGAAGGGTGGAAACCGAGGCATCGAGTCCCATCGTCTCACTCTGCTGGAATATGTCATGAGAGGGCCAGGCCAAGGAACCCCCGAGGGGATGAAACCCAGCTGTGTTCTTTCCTCATCTTCTGTCCACTCATTTCCTCCTGTGCAGGAGATGGCTGCGGTGTCCGCCTTTCTGCAGGCTGGAGCCCCCAGACCGTACCCCACCCACTACATGGACACCGCCATACAGACGTACAGAGACGTCTGCAAGTAAGAGCCAACTCTCGTCTCGTTCATTATCAGTCTTTGTGTTGAAAACTCACTTTAGCACAAGTTGTCTTCTCCCTGACCGTATGATGTCTATTGATCTCTAGACGTAAAGGTATCTATTGTCCTGAGTGGTGACGCATGATGCTGCAGTTATTCTCAGGGGTTTGTGTCCATAGGTTGAATGGTGGTAGCAGGAGACCCGCAGGAGAGAGTTACAGTAGTCCAGGCGGTAGATGACAAGAGCCTGAATCAGTACCTGCGCTGCCGGAGAGAATTAGTTGTGTGTCATCGGCATAGCTGTGGTAGGAGAAACCATGCGAGCGAATGACGGCTCCGAGAGAGTTGGTGTAGAGCAAGAAGAGGAGGGGACCCAGGACGAAACCCTGAGGAACTCCAGTAGTAAGAGGACAAGGTTCCGACACAGATCCTCTCCAGGTTAGCCGGTAGGTGCGGTCGTCGAGGTAGGACGAGAGAGAGAGCAGAGCCTGAGACACCAAGTTCCTGAAGGGGGGAAATAAGGATCTGGTGGTTGACTGTGTTAAATGCAGCAGAGAGGTCCAGAAGGATGAGGACAGAGGAGAGAGAGGCAGCTCTAGCAGTGTGGAGTTGCTCTGAGACTCTGTGTCTCTGTGGAGCGGCCTTGAAACCTGACTGGTGGGGGTCAAGGAGGTTGTTACAGTGGAGATAAGAGGAGAGTTGGTTAAAGATCGCACGTTCAAGAGTTTTGGACAAAAAGGGAAGAAGAGAGACTGGTCTGTAGTTGTTTTCTTCAGAAGGGTTGAGGGTAGGTTTCTTCAGGAGAGGGTTGACTCTTGCCTCCTTCAGAGAATTGGGAAAACAGCCAGATAACAGAGCATTGTTGATGAGACAGGTGAGGAAAGAAGGAGGTCAGGAGCGATAGATTGTAGAAGATGTGATGGAATGGGGTCAAGAGGGCAGGTGGTCGGACGGGCAGAGGTTACTAGGGTAAGAATTTGGTTAGGAGAGAGGGCGGTGAAAGAGGAGAGTGAGGGCGATAGAAGTGAAGTCAGTGGGACGCAAGTAGTAGGAGGTGGGTTTGAGAAAGACGAGCGTATGTCAGCTATTTTCTTGGTAAAATAGTTGACAAAGTCACCCGGAAGAAGGGTGGAGGAGGACTAGGGGGTTCGAGGAGGTTGGAGAAGATCGAAAAGAGTTTTTTGGGGTTAGAAAATGAAGATTCGATTCTGCAGAGACAGAAGCAGAAAACGAGGAGAGGAGAGATTGAAATTCAAGCAGGTCGTCAGGTCGTTTATATTTACGCCATCTCCTTTCCGACGCTCGCATGGTGGCTCTCATGGCACGGACCGGTTGAGACAGCCACGGAGCCGGAGGGGATTTGCCAGTCCGTCGGGTCATAAGAGGGCAGAGAGAGTCTAGAGAGGAGGAAAGAGTTGAGAGGAGAGTCTCAGCAGCAGCGTTCGGATGCAAGAGTGAGAAGAAGTCAGTAGAAGGGAGAGCTGATAGAACAGAGGAGGCCAGGGAGGAGGGAGAGAGGGAGAGAGGGAGCGAATGTTGCAACAAACATGTACAGAGTCAGTCAAAGGGGCGGTCGTTAGTTATAGAGAGTGGGAGAGAGTAAGAGATGAAGAAGTGGTCAGACACATGAAGTGGAGTTACAGAGAGGTTAGTGGTAGAGCAGTTTCTAGTGAAGATGTAGTCAAGGTGATTGCCGGCTTTGTGAGTAGGAGGAGAGGGACTGAGTGACAGAGCGAAGGAAGAAAGTAGGTGTAAGAGGTCAGATGACTTCTCTGTCTGGATGTTGAAGTCACCCAGGAGGATGAGTGGAGGGACATTTTCAGGGAAATTGGACAGGATAATGTGCAGTTCTTCCAAGAAATGACCCTAGGAGCCTGGCGGATGGTAAAGGACAACAATGGTTAATTGCACCGGGTGAGTGATTGTTACAGCATGGAATTAAAGACAGTTGGGTGGAAGAGGGTAGAGCGAAAAGCTCCATTTGGGTGAAATGAGTAGACCTGTGCCACCACCCCTACCAGTGGGCCTGGGTGTATGGCTGAAGGAGAAGGCGGAGGAGAGAGCGGCTGGGGTGGATGTGTTCTCAGGTGTGATCCAGGTCTCGGTGAGAGCGAGGAAGTCGAGTGACTGCTGGATAGCGAAGCCGGAGATGAAGTCTGCCTTGCGAGTCGCTGACTGGCAGTTCCAGAGGCCTCCTGTGACGAGGTGCTGGACATGAGTGGAGCGAGTGGGATCGGTGAGAGAGGAGAGGTTACGATAGAGAGCGGATCTAGCCCGAGGCCTGTAGTATCTGCGGGAAGAGGTTCGGACAGGTATTGGTCAAGGGGTAAATGGTAAATGGACTGTACTTGTATAGCGCTTTTCTAGTCTTCTGACCACTCAAAGCGCTTTAACACTACATGACATCATTCACCCATTCACACACTGATGACAGGAGAACCACACACAGTGACACCTGCCCATCAGTAACTAACATCCACACACTACAGGAGCCATGTTGGGTTAGTGTCTTGTCCAAGGACACAACGACATGCGGGTTAGCAGAGCCTGGGATCGAACCGACAACCCTCTGATTTGAGGACAACCTGCTCCCCACTCACCCACAGACGCCCAAACACATAATTAAAACTAGAAGAAGGCGCCGCATTCAGCCGCCCCGAAGACTCCACGAAACCCTCCTTAGTCTTTGTCCTGCTCGTCTTTGTCCTGCTCGTCTTTGTCCTGCTTGTCTTTGTCCTGCTCGTCTTTGTCCTGCTCGTCTTCGTGCTGCGCGGATATGCGAGATATCTTCTGAGGATGGTCCAACTGTTGAATTGAATAAATCAAATGTACGCCGTTTCCAAACCATCTGCTGTAGTGATGCACACCTAAAAGATGTGTTCTGCCCTCGACAGGAACATGGTGCTGGCTGAGCGCTGTGCATTGCTCAGTGCTGAGATACTCAAGAGTCAGGCCAAGTACTCCGAGGCTGCAACGCTCCTCATTAAGATGACCAGCGAGGTGAGGATGTATGCGTTAGATCTGAGTGCAACAGGACAGCGTGATCTGCTTCATTCAGTGATCACTGTTCTGGTTCAGCAAGTCATGAGAGCTGGTTGACAAGGCACACCAGGTAAATACTGCCACCTATTGTCAAACCAGGACACCTGAGGACTGTGGAAAATCTGACCTTTTATGCAGAATAATGGATGTATTTATAACAGTCAAACAAAGTAGCTTTGTGCCGACCTCTTTCATTCCCTTGTATGTTCAGGACTCTGACCTGCGCAGTGCTCTGCTGCTGGAACAAGCTGCCCACTGCTTCATTAATATGCGCAATCCTATGGTGCGCAAGTTTGCCTTCCACATGATCCTGGCCGGTCATCGTTTCAGCAAAGCCGGACAGGTGAGCCTTTCAACCGCCCTAATCTACTGTGGTGGTCCAATCCACCAGGTTTCTCCCTGTGAGCGCTGTTCTGGTCTCCGACAGTTTCATCTTCAATCGGTTTTAATTCTGAAGCTTCCACTCCTGCCTGTCTGTGCTGTCCCTTCATGTAGAGGAGGCACGCGCTGCGCTGTTACTGCCAGGCCATGCAGGTGTACAAGCAGCGGGGCTGGTCCCTGGCGGAGGACCACATCAACTTCACTATCGGCCGTCAGTCCTTCACACTCAGCCAACCAGAGAACGCTGTGACCGCCTTCAGACAGATCCTGACCAATGACAGCAGGCAGACGGCCACACAGCAGGGCGCCTTCCTCAGAGAGTACCTCTACGTCTATAAGGTGACCAAAGCTTGACCACATGTGGGGAGAGACCACTGTGCGTGGATGGGTAACTCCCCATAGTGAATACAAGTGATGTGGAGTTCCTCAGGGCTCCGTTCTCAGACCTCTGTCACTGAATCATGAAGATATTTTAGTTCCTTCTTTCTATATCCCATTTACTCGTGTGTGTGTGTGTGTGTGTGTGTGTCATAGAGTGTTGTAGGGGGAAATGAAGACCGCCTCCCCCAGCTGCCTCTGCCCTGCATCCACAGCTCAGCCACACGAGTGTACTTTGGACACGAGCGGCGCCTTGCAGAAGGTAACGCAGTGATGAGTTGTGATCAGACCTGCACCGGTTAACATGCGCCTCATGTTTTAATGTAATGAAGCTTCAACGTCTTCCAGGCCACTCTGTGTCTGTCCGTCCTCTGTCTTTGGCTACTTGAGCTCGTACATACACGGATGCATGCATACATACACGCATGCATACATGCATAGTACCACAGCAACTGGTCCCTTTATGTACCATTCAAGGAAAACAACCAAAAAGGTAGAGAGAAGGAACAGATATGTAATATTATTATGAGCTGAATAGATAACGTGGAGGAGGAAGTGTTGATAGTTTGTTGAGGCTTCTAAAGCGCTGAAGGATCACGCTAGCAGGAGGTTGACGGGCTCCATATTGCTAACATTCATTAGTCTCCTGACCGACGTTAGAGATTATTTACTAGTTGACCCGTTGAAACACGTCTCTGCAGACCTCTCTTCATATTTCATTCATAGACAAACGTTTCATTTTATTAAGTTTATGTGGATTATTGTTTTTATTACTGCTATTTTTATTGTACAATAGTTTTTTCTGTTAGTTTCCCCGCTGTGGAACTAATGAGGGATCATTTTATCTGAACAGAATAAAATGAACCAATGAGGCAAAGGTTCGCTGTAACTGATGAATGTGTTGGGGGGACAAATGAATTCATCTCACGATCATGAGATCATTTCATGACAAATCCATTTCCAGCTGTAAATACTTGCTGTGTGCAGGCGAAAAGCAGGCGGCCACTCACGTGTCTCTGGACCAGGAGTACGACCAGGACCTGGCAGCCATGTGGGGCCACCTGGAGGAGCAGCTGGTGGCTGCTGCCAACAGGGGGATTGTCCCAGCGAGCTTCCAGCCCACCCAGTGCTGCTTGAACAGCCAGACAGACAACCTGCGCCGCCCGCTGGCTGTGGCCGAGGGTTCGTGCTCCTCATGTCCTCTCATCAGGAGCCCCCACTGTCCCCTGCTCAGTATTCATCCCTCTTTCTCCTTCAGAGCCAATTATAGTGGAGGTGACGTTCAGGAACCCTCTGAAGGTTCCTCTGGCTCTGTCCAACCTCAAACTCCTCTGGAAGTTCACTGCCGAGGGGGCGAGTCCCTCCGAGGAGACGGCAGGAGAAGCCATCACCAACGAGGAGAGCCTGACTGAAGGGGTGAGCGGACAGCTGGACGCTATAAAAACCAAGACGCCCGGCCTCCGCGGTCCCTGACACGTCCGTTTCCTCTTGCAGATGCCACAGACGGACACCGTCGTCACCACACAGATCATCCTGGAGTTCCTTATGGGTCCAGAAGAGACCAAAATGGTAAGGGCTCCGATAGAGCTCCAGCGTATCAGCTGTCCGTGCTCATAGCGATCACGTTGGGGGGGTGACTGGCTCACACCTTACTAGCAACTTTCACTGTAAAAGCGTCCCCCACCCATACACCACTCTGGTGTAACTACACTAGCTAGCTGGCATCGACCTTCTGTTCAAGGCACACAAACACCAAGAATGTTGTAGCTGTTGTTTACAGGGTTTCATGTTTATTAAACAGTTGATCAATTGTAGAAATCTGAAGTATCGTAGCTATAAAGGTGTCATTTGAGCAGCGGTATGAGCTACCCGGCCCTTTGAATGGAGCCCCCCCCCATGAAAATCCACAAAGAACTTGAAACGTGTGTGAAAAGTCTTTGAAGTGGTCAGGGACTTTCCCCTTGGCTCATCTGACACGTGACACTGACCTTTGACCTCAGGCGCGACTCCAGCTGCTGCCACGCAGAACGGGCCAGCTGAGCATTGTGGGCGTGGTCTACAACCTGGCTGCAGCCCCCTGTGCAGAGACGGCCCCCAGCTCTGAAGGTACCCTCGGTTCACACGCATTGGTGTGTGTTGTTGTTGTTGTTGTTGTTTATCTCATGTCAGCGACGGTTCTGTGCTTCTGCTGCCGTCTGCAGGCCAGCAGGCCGTGGATTTCATGCTGGTCCGGGGCAGACAGGACCTTAAGATCCAGGGCCCACGACTGAACCAGACCAAAGAGGACAAGATGTTGGTTCGACACGGTCTGGATCGGCGGCTGGACCCCATCATAACTCCACCCATGCCCCTGATGGAGGTACCACTGACACCGTGTATCCGCTTAGGGATTCAAAGCAGAATGTTGATGACGTTGAGTTGGTCAGATCACACGTAGAGCTTTCAGACCTCATGTGTTCCTGCTGCAGGTCTTCTTCCTGCAGTTCCCCACGGCGCTGCTGTGTGGTGAGATCAGGAAGGCCTACGTGGAGTTCTGTAATGTCAGCGCAGTCGCTCTGTGCGGCCTTCGGGTGGCCTCCACGCACCCAGACTTCTTCACGTTTGGCAGCCAGGGCACGACCCCCCTCACACCCGTAAGCCCCACCTCAGCGGAGAACTGCTCGGCCTATAAGACCGTGACCCGGCCGCCGGGCTCGGTGGCGTCGGAGATGCTGGTGTCCGCGGGGGATTTCAGTCAGCCGTCCGGCGTGATGGACATTCCCATAGATGGCGGCACGCTGCTACCAGGGGAGTCCACCCAGCTGCCTCTGTGGCTCCGAGGACCCGACCACGAGGGAGTCCACGAGATCAACTTCCTCTTCTACTATCAGAGCACCGAGAAAGGAACGCAAATCAGGTACATGTGAGGTAACTAACCACCTCCACTGCGCCCCCTGCTGGTCTGTGGGTGTCACATGAGGTAAGCAGGCGTTCAGTAAAGACCGTGAGATGCGGGCGGAGTTCCACCTGGGACTCGCATGTGCATTCACCATCAACCGTGTTGGACTGACAGCTGGACACATTGTCTGTCCGCCCTCATCCGTGTCCTGTTCTTGTCTCCTCTGCGTGTGCAGCCACCGCGTGTTGCGTCACACGGTGTTCATCTGTGCCAGCCGCTCCCTGAGCGTCCAGGCGTCGGCCTGCCGCAGCAGCGTGCCGCCACACCACCGGCTGGACGACGGCGGCGGCGGAACGCTGGTCTTCGTGGATGTCGAGAACATCAACACGGTGAGTTACGGCGCGCGTCTGCAGAAGGCACCGCTGGAACAGCTGCTCACACGGGTTCTCGTGTTCCCCAGAGCGAAGGCGGTGTGCGCGAGTTCCACATCGTCCAGGTGTCCAGCAGCAGTCAGCGCTGGCGCCTCCACAGGCGCATCAACCCGGCCAGTGACCGAGGTAAACGCTCCACCCGTGAGCCACACTTTACCCAAGATGCCTCAGTGGAGGAACCACGAGGAACAATCCACGTGTCAGATAACGCTCCCAAAACTAATGTAAAGTTGGCTTCAATCTGATTTGATAAATGCTTTTGTTTGTCTGCGGCTTGGTAACAAGTTCAAACAAGTCCTCCTTCCGATCTTGTTTCTATAAATGATTTATTGCTCAGGTCCCTTTTTGTGCAATACGTGTTTTCCTTCATTTAGTTCACTATATAAAGATGTGTGTCTGCCCCCCAGACTGTAAGCTCACCAGCAGGGAACGAGCCAAGCTGTGTTTCAGAGCCACGCGATGCCGCCCCCCCCCAGGTACCCATGACTTCTGTTACTATAGCGACGGCCATGTGGCTTCTGAAGGAGCTCTGACTGCTCTGCCTTCTGCCTCCAGCGGCCTCGGATGCTGCAGAGAAATACACGTTTGCAGACGTGAACCTGGGAAATGAGCGGGTAGGTGGAAGCCCATTTAAACACCACAGCACTGTCATTTCATGCCAAATGCCATAACGTTGGTGAAATGGCACCGAAAGCCAGGATTCTAGATAAATCAACGTCATGTCTTTTGTGTTGTGCAGATCATCAGCTCCTCCACCCCCTGTGGAGACTTCTTCTTCCGTGGCTGTCGGAGCCCGGAGTCTCACAGAGTGGGAGGGACAGCGTCCAGGACGTCGTCCAGCAGCCGGATTCAGGAGGGCCGAGCCGCTGACATCAGCAGCATCGTCAAGAAGTGCAACGAGCTGGACCTCCACATAATCGTCATCTGGAAGGTACATGCAGGGAGAGGCTGGCGATGCAAAGTGCAGCAAGCAGATGATGGTCCTAATGGTGCAGCCCTGGACACTTAAACAACGTTGTGTCAAGTCTGGTCCAAGACCCTCTAATCAAACAGGGTTCTTGATACACATTCACCGCCTCTCTGAGGAATCCTGACGTTTGAATGTTGAGTGTTTTAGGCTGAAACTGCGAGTGTGTGTGCAGGCCTATGTGGTGGAGGACAACAAGCAGCTGATCCTGGAGGGACAGCTCCATGTGGCGCTGCAGACCCTTGGCAAGGAGGTGACTTCACTGACTCCCAAAGAGGTGCAGTAAAGACACAGCGGATCTTTTTATTTTGAAGCGTTTGAGGCCATAAAGGTGCGCGCGTGCTCTTCTTGTGCTGGCAGGAAGCTCAGGAGATGGTGCTCCTGAAGTTTAAACCAGAAGCTCCTGCTCCAGTGGCCCCGCCCTCTGCAGAGCTGTCCCAGCTCATCAAAACCAACCTGCACTACCCCGAGACCCACAGCCACCCGTTTGTCCAGGAGAGGTGAGACCAGTAAAGCAGGACGCGTTTGGATGCGTGCACCGATCCCCGTATGAGTAAAGCTGCTTGTGTCTCCAGTCTGTGCGTGGTGCCCGTCACGCTCACGCTGTCCAACTGCTCCTCGGCGCCGGTGGACGTCCTCATTGACCTCAGGCACAAAAGCCCCAGGTACGTGTGCGTTGCTACGGGAAACGCTGACCGGATAAAGGAGGCGTGGCTGTGAACGTGTGTTGTGCCTCTTCCAGCCCAGAGTCTGTGGAGGTCCACGGCTCGTTCACCTGGGTGGGTCGGACCCAGTACAAGCTGCAGCTGGAGCCTCAGCAGGTGCTGTGCGTGACCCTGAGAGCCTGTTTCCTCCAAGCAGGGGTCTACAACCTCAACACGCCGCGAGTGTTCGCCAAGCCGACGCAGCAGGCCGCCGTTTGTGAGACTAGTCAGCAGGCGGCGAGTCCCGCCCTCATCATCATCAACAACGCCTGAGTGGAGCCGCGGGCGCAACGCACACACCACCACTGGACCGCAGGACAGATGTTTGTACCAATTACTGAGATAGAAACTGATTGTTTTAGTTCCATCGTTCACCCGCATGTTACTTCCTTTGTGCGAGTCCTTCTGATCAACACACAGGTGACCCCGCCCACCTCAAGGTGTGTGCGTCACATAAAGGGGCGGAGTCACATGAGAATCCTTAATGGACCGAAGCTGAACTTAAATTCTTTTAACAAGAGCTGTTTACATCCTGACTATTGTACACAAACCGCCCCCATGTGATTTTTATACGAGTGCATTGTCAGTTCATCAGGCCACCATGTGTTAGCCTGTCCAATCAGCGAATTTAACCTATCGTAATCAAGCTCTTGTATGCATCGACTTGACAGCTTTTCTGAAAATGGTGTATTATATTTATATAACAAATTGGCTGTAAATAGGGAATAAAGATGTAACTAATGATCTTGAGCATTATTGTCCAGACGAGGAGACAACTGGGTCAGTAAAAGAATCCAATCAGTGTCACATGGTATTTAATAGCCATTGGTTCCCTTTATCAAATCACTGGTTAAAAAAGAAGTTGATCCTGAGATATGAAGCAGCGTCTCTGAGCTAGGAATCAAGTAGTGATGAAGTGGGCGTCTCACTGTTCCAACACTGCTGGGTACTGTGGAATTCGTCGGTACAGACAGTAGTGCTGAAACATGAAGAGGAGGTCGAAGACCACCGAGAACAGACCCAGGCCGAACTTCGTAGGGTCTCCGAATACCAGCCTCCACTCATCTGACGAGAGACACATGGCGGTCAGCACGGGACGCGCTCTGGTGGGAGGGTCCTCCTGCACACTTACCGTTGTTGTGAGACTCCAGGACCATCTGTAGAATACTGAGGACGCCGCCGGTGAAGTCCAGCAGCACGTTGCCGATGCTCCAGCCTTCAGTGCTCTGCTTCCTGTAGTTCATGTACGCCTGGGAGACCACGTTCATCCAATCAACACACACCTCTCTCTGCGCGCGCGTGTGTGTGTGTATGTGTGCGCGCGTTACCTGCGGCACATATTTGACCAGTGTGACTGCCAGCTTAATGTAGGAGAAGTAGTAGAGGTAATCCAACCAGGTGATCTGCTGGGCTGCAGCCACACACAGGCTGACCACGGCAAAGCTCCACCCAATCACCAACAGGACCTTGGCCGTGCAGGAGACCTTTTGACCCCCCCTCTGAAACGAAGAGGACACAGAGGGCTGACCTGTCTGACATCACGTTCATTACGCTACAGCGCGAGGACCTTAAACCTCTGATTAGATGATGCTCCTTCAATCAGGGTTGGTGGTTTGATTCCCGCTTAACAAGTGTCCGTGCGCTGTGACAACGGTGTGTAAATGTCTCGTGTCATCGCTGTATGAAAGGGTTCTTACGTCAAAGAACCATCAGTGAGAACCACAGCGAGTCTTACCTGGAGCACCGTGATCACACAAAGCCTGGGCCTCCTGTGACATCACACACACACACACACACACACACCTCATACACAGCCGCCTGGCCGACGTAGACCAAGCAGAGCAGGAGCGCGTGGAGGCTGAAGAAGACGTCGTTGGCGCTGACGGGGTTGATCCCGCTCAGGTTCTTCTTCAGGAACTCGTCCTGCAGGGCGGCAGACACACATCCGGTACGTGCTTCATCACAACACACAGGAATTACTAAAGCGCCGTGACACAAACTACTGTACTCGTAAAGGGGAAGCTGTGGTCTGAGGTTACTGCTTTAACCCTAAGCCCCCCCGACAAGACACCACTGCAGAACTACCCCCCTGAAATAAGGTGATACGAGTCTGTTCTGTCTTCTTGTGAATTCACCACAATCAATTGAGTCCTTTCTTTAATATCCCACCGTATTAACCCCCCCCCCCCCATCATCATCATCATGGGACTGAGGATCATTTAGCACAATGATCGAGTCAGACAGTGAGAAGCCTGTTAAAGAGTAAAAGGCCTTTGTCTGGTTTTAGAGGTGAGCCCACTTCGAAGCCCCATTCCTGCATGTTCCTGTGACGGGGGGGCGGTTTGTCCTGGACCTGCAGGACTCCGTAGCAAGGAAGCATGGCGGTACCTTGATGTAGGGCACCCAGAACAGTCCGACATTGAACACGCTGTAGGCGATGAAGCCAGTCAGGTTGAGAGCCAGGTAGTCAAAGTTGAGACCTACAACACTGGAAACAAACACAAAAACATGCTCAATGCGCTCATGTGTGTAAGGATTAGGTTTAAACAGCCGGGCCCGCCGGGGGCCCGCCGGGGGCCTGCCGGGGGCCTGCCGGGGGCCTGCCGGGGGCCTGCCGGGGGCCTGCTGCAGTGTACTATGACTGACAGAGAGGGTCAACCCACCTCTTCCTCCTGAAGTTTTCCCACACCTGTGGATAGAAGGACACCGACCAGGCCACAAAGTAAATCCAGCCAATCACCTGGCTGATCACTAACAGGGCGTTGCTGTGGACGACCATGAAGTGGATCTTGAAGGTCAAACTAGAAGAGAGAATCAGGGACACGTAGCAGTAAACAGTCAGGACAATGTTGGGGCCCAAAGGGGACCGGCTGGTCCACCCCCCTCCCCACAGGGGGGTCCTTCAAGTCCCCGTATGCTCTGCTGTGCAGACACCCACCTGTTGAGGTCTGTGTTGTTGCTGAGCAGGTAGGTGGTCACCTGGCCGACGGCGTGGGCCGTCACATTGAATCGGACCGAGGCTGCAGCCGCTGGCAGCAGCACCTGGACAGGAGACGCAGCGAGAGGCTGAAGTCATTGTTGCTTTTCTCTGGAATACATTTGCGTTACAGGTACGTCCTGGGGTCTGTGATTGGTACTTTAGCCTGATGCTGGTAGGGAGGTGGGGGCTCTGCAGCGGTTACCTGCTCAGGGAGGGTGATGATAGACGAGCAGTTCTTGGAGCTGGAGGTCACATTGAAGTGAATCACGGCCGACTGGATGAGAGGAGAACTGGAGGAGACACCACGTCTCATCATTGGCTCCTATTCACATGCTTTAATGTTTGAACAGGACGATGGGAAGATCTCTTCCCTTTAAAACGTTTGATAAACACTATTTAATGGTTCGTGCCATCTGGACCTCGAGTCTGGAATACAGTTTGATTGATTGATCGATCTCAGCTATAGTGGTTATTTACATAAAAAAACACAATCCAAATTGTTGGGGGAGAATTGTTGAGCCTGCGTAGGGAATGTGACCCTGTGACCCGAGGCCGTCCAGGGTGAGACAGGACAGATGGAAGCACACACGCCCCGGCTGACCCTTCAGATGTTGTTGATTGACCGGGTCCATTAAGGGAGGGTCACCGTGTCTCCCCCACGTCGTCTGGTACTTTTCCATACACAAACCTCCCTGAAGTGTATAAAACCTCCTGTTCTCCTCTTTAACTTGTCAGATCTTCCTGCTCCTCTTTGGGAGAAAGAACCATCTGCCCCTTTTCAGCTGAATTGTAGTCATTTGACTTCTGTCTGTACTTACGGCTTGTGTTGATGATTTCTGTATTCTTGATTTTTCCTATATTCTAGTTAGTAAAATACAAGTTTATGATACTTTTGATTTCCCACAAGGGCGAAAATCCACAATTTCCACCACAGAAATCACAGCACACCAACGCTACTGGCAAATAATCAGGTTGAAAAAGACTGAGCAGTTGAGAACGTGGTCATCAATTGTGAGAATGAATGAGGCGTTCAGGGACACGTGTCCCCCGGTTACCTGGGAGCGATGAGGACGTCGGCCTCAGAGTTCTCCTCCAGCGTGACGGTGTGTGGAGCCTTCAGATACACTGTGGACTCTGGAGGACACACACAACATCACAAACTAACCCAAACGCTTCTCCCCAGTTGAACCTTTCAGGGCCAATGTTGAACGACAGAAAATAAAATTAAGTAAATAACAAAGCAACAAATTATATTAATAACAATAATACTTCCCCCACACAAAAATCTAAGATAGAAAACAGAAATAAGTGAGTGTGTAGAATAGTTGGATACAACAGGACAGTGTACTTAGTAGCTCAATGGGTACAATGTGCATTCACACACACACACACACACACACTTACACTCACTGTACCCTCGTCACGAGGACCCCACGTGCTAAACATCTGTATGGCCATCCATGGGCATACAGATGTTTAGGGTTAGGGCCATCCATGGCCATACAGATGTTTAGCATGTGGGGATCCCACTGGAATCACAGTCGCTCACCACAGACGCCGCTCAGCATCCACAGCAGCAGCAGCTGAACCGGACCTTCCATCTCCGAGGACCGGGAGACAATGTCCACCTGGAGGACACATCGCCCACTACGTCACCTGCATGTTTACACATAATATACATTCACGTCGCCATGTGGGACGCGTTATTCAGCTCATGGAGCAGAGCAGCGGCTGCCTGGCGCGGACTCACGAGCCAGCTCACGTGACTAACGTGATGTCACGTGAGCTAACGTTCGTTAAAGCTGTTCAGTCGGCATTTGGTGCTGTAGAAAACCAAGTGAACGGAGTAGAAAGTGAAAGTATTGGTGACAAGTCGACTAACCGAGCGGGACGTTTGGAGCAGTAAACGTTAAGAAACATTAAGAAACTTACAGTCCTGCGTCACGAGACACTTTCAAGTGAGAAGTTCTGTTTTCTTCCTCCTTTCAGCCTCCTGCTTCTTTGTGGTTCACACCAGTCGCTGTCCGTGACGTCACAGTGCTGCCGCCCTCTGGCGGGAGGCCGTTACTGCAGCAGCATCTTCTGGTATATTGGTGCATTACCGCCACCTTCTGCACCGGAGTGTGAATCAGATTACATACTTTCTTTCTCCTAAACACCCCCTCCCAAGAAATAAGAAAATGAATACATTTAAGAAAAGAAGAAGAAATAAATAACTACACTATTGCTAAACATAGACACATGAATATACCACGATCACCTTTGTACCATATCCCTGCATTTTCATCATATCCGATGAAAGTTCTTTAATTAAGAAAGCTAGGACTATTCCAACCTGTGCTCTCTACCCATGTTCAGTACTTCCTTCATGCTGTTTTCAATCATTTCATAGGTCTCCTGCCAAGTTGCTAAAAACTTACATTGTGCAGTGGGTTGTTGTGCTGTTGTTCTTTCTGGGCTTTTTCCATGTGCTCACTGACAATCAGGTTAATGGCACAGGTCAGGAGCTCAAAAGGTGAGAAGCCTGTCGAGGCTTGAGGAACCTCCTTAACGGCAAACATCAGGTAGGGGATTGAGTCTCATTGTAATCTCTACTGGTCCGTCCGTTTGAGGGTGGTAAACCGATGTTCTTAGTTGCTCGATTTTCTAGGAGCTTGCACAAGCCTTTGGTGACACGCGACATAAACGGGGTCCCCTGATCTGTCAGTATCTTCTTTGGAAGTCCTATGCAATCACCACTGCCAACATCTCCACTGTGTAGACCCTGAGATTATTGGATGTTCTTCTATTGATACGGATCCCTTTTGCTGGCATTGCCACCTGCAAGATGCATGTAGTGGTAAAAACATTCTGTAAACATTTGTCTGGTGCTAAAAGCCAGGTCTCAGTGGTTGACCCTGAGATGGAGAGATAGAAAGATTTAGGGTTTGCAGCTGTGTTTGGGGAAGGGGGTAATCTTGCTCTCACAGACCTTCGATCAGAGGAGCATTGTGTGTTACCCTCAGCTTCACCTGAGTTCTTATCTCAACTAGATTTGTGGCTTCTCGTAACTAGCACCAAAACTGTCTTCAAGTGTATAAAAACTCAGCGTTTTCCTGCTCTGGGACGCCATTACACAGAGCGCTGGAATACGTGCTGGTGTGTTGGACCTCCTGCTTGCAAGCAATAGTTAGAGCCAGATATCTGCGGAGAATTGCTCATGTAATCTTTTTCGCTTCTAAATAAATGTTAACTTTTTGACTTTAATTGATCAACGTGCTGGATCCTTCTCATCAACCAACTCGGGGGAATCGGAGATCCCGACACACCCCACACCCTGTCACTGTTTCTTGGTACCATCTGTGTAAATCTGTGTTGAAGTCACTGTACTCTGTCATAACATACTTCTCATATGTATTACATTACATTACATCACATGTCATTTAACTGACACTTTTATCCAAAAGCGACTTACAAATGAGTGCATTCAACCATAGGGTACAAACTCAGAAGAACAAGAATGTGCAATTTCCTCAAATAAGCCAATTTACAATTTGCTATAGATGAGTGACGTTACAAGTACAATTTAAGTGCTACAATTTGTTAGTCTTTAGTCGAGGTAGAGTCTGAAGAGGTGTGTCTTTAGTTTACGGCGGAAGATGTGAAGGCTCTCTGCGGTCCTGGTGTCTTCAGAGAGCACCATTTCGGAAGAAGGACAGCAAAGAGTCGTGATCTAGTCAAGTGTTTTGCTCTCAGTGAGGGAGCAACGAGCAGTTTTGCAGATGCAGAGCAGTGAGTGCGGGTCGGGATGTAGGGTTTCAACATGTCCTGTATGTAAGCTGGACCCGATCCATTCACAGCATGGTACGTGAGCACCAATGTTTTGAACTGGATGCGGGCGGCCACCGGTAGCCAGTGAAGAGAGTGGAGGAGTGAGGGAGAACTTAGGAAGGTTAAAGACCAGTCGAGCTGCTGCATTCTGGATGAGCTGCAGAGGTCGAATGGCGGTGGCAGGGAGACCTGCAGGAGAGAGTCACAGTAGTCCAGGAGGGAGATGACAAGAGCCTGAATCAGTACCTGCGCTGCCTTCTGAGTGAGAAGAGGACGTGTTCTCCTGATGTTGTAGAGCGTGTATCTACAGGATCGTGTTGTCGCAGTAATGTTGGGAGTCAGGGAGAGTTGGCTGTCGATTGTGACGCCGAGGTTCCTAGCGGTTAAAGTGGGCGTTAACACAGAGTTGCCAAAGTTGACAGTCAAGTCCTGGGTCGGAGAGTCTTTTCCTGGAAAGAGAAGTAGTTCAGTCTTGTCGGGGTTGATTTTCAGATGGTGGGCGGACATCCAGAGATGTCAGTCAGACAGGCAGAGATACGTGCCGCCACCTGGGTGACCGAGGGAGGGAAGGAGAGAATTAGTTGGGTGTCATCGGCATAGCTGTGGTAGGAGAAGCCATGCGAGCGAATGTCAGCGCCGAGAGAGTTGGTGTAGAGCGAGAAGAGAAGGGGACCCAGGACGGAATCCTGAGGAATTCCCATAGTAAGAGGACAAGGTTTCGACACAGATCCTCGCCAGGTTACCCGGTAAGTGCGGCCGTCGAGGTAGGACGAGAGAAGGGAGAGAGCAGAGCCTGAGACACCAAGTTCCTGAAGGGAGGAAACAAGGATCTGGTGGTTGACTGTGTCAAATGCAGCAGAGAGGTCCAGAAGGACGAGAACAGAGGAGAGAGAGGCGGCTCTAGCAGTGTGGAGTTGCTCTGAGACAGCAAGGAGAGCAGTCTCTGTGGAGCGGCCTTGAAGCCTGACTGGTGGGGGTCAAGGAGGTTGTTACGGTGGAGATAGGAGGAGAGTTGGTTAAAGATAGCACGTTCAAGAGTTTTGGACAAAAAGGGAAGAAGAGAGATTGGTCTGTAGTTGTTTTCTTCAGAAGGGTTGAGGGTAGGTTTCTTCAGGAGAGGGTTGACTCTTGCCTCCTTCAGAGAATTGGGAAAACAGCCAGATAACAGAGCATTGTTGATGAGACAGGTGAGGAACGGAAGAAGGTCAGGAGCGATAGATTGTAGAAGATGTGATGGAATGGGGTCAAGAGGGCAGGTGGTCGGACGGGCAGATGTTTACTAGGGTAAGAATTTGGTTAGGAGACAGGGGGGTGAAAGAGGAAAGTGAGGGCGATAGAGGTGAAGTCAGTGGGACGCAAGTAGTAGGAGGTGGGTTTGAGAAGGAGGAGCGTATGTCAGCTATTTTCTTGGTGAAGTAGTTGACAAAGTCACCCGAAAGAAGGGTGGAGGAGGACTAGGGGGTTCGAGGAGGTTGGAGAAGATCGAAAAGAGTTTTTTGGGGTTAGAAAATGAAGATTCGATTCTGGATTGGTAGAAAGCGCTTTTGGCAGCAGAGATAGAAGCAGAAAACGAGGAGAGGAGAGAAATTCAAGCAGGTCGTCAGGTCGTTTATATTTACGCCATCTCCTTTCCGACGCTCGCATGGTGGCTCTCATGGCACGGACCGGTTGAGACAGCCACGGAGCCGGAGGGGATTTGCCAGTCCGTCGGATCGTCAGACGGCAGAGAGTCTAGAGAGGAGGAAAGAGTTGAGAGGAGAGTCTCTGCAGCAGCGTTCGGATGCAAGAGTGAGAAGGAGTCAGTTGAAGGGAGAGCTGATAGAACAGAGGATGCCAGCGAGGAGGGAGAGAGGGAGCGAATATTGCGCCGAACAGGTACAGAGTCAGTCAAAGGGGCGGTCGTTAGTTATAGAGAGTGGGAGAGAGTAAGAGATGAAGAAGTGGTCAGACACATGAAGTGGAGTTACAGAGAGGTTAGTGGTAGAGCAGTTTCTAGTGAAGATGTAGTCAAGGTGATTGCCGGCTTTGTGAGTAGGAGGAGAGGGACTGAGTGACAGAGCGAAGGAAGAAAGTAGGTGTAAGAGGTCAGATGACTTCTCTGTCTGGATGTTGAAGTCACCCAAGAGGATGAGCGGAGGGACATTATCAGGGAAGTTGGACAGGAGAATGTCCAGTTCTTCCAAGAAATGACCCTAGGAGCCTGGCGGACAGTAAAGGACAACAATGGTTAATTGCACCCGGTAAGTAACTGTTACAGTATGGAATTAAAGACAGTTGGGTGGATGGTGGAAGAGGGTAGAGCGAAAAGCTCCATTTGGGTGAAATGAGTAGACCTGTGCCACCACCCCTACCAGTGGGCCTGGGTGTATGGCTGAAGGAGAAGGCGGAGGAGAGAGCGGCTGGGGTGGATGTGTTCTCAGGTGTGATCCAGGTCTCGGTGAGAGCGAGGAAGTCAAGTGACTGCTGGATAGCGAAGCCGGAGATGAAGTCTGCCTTGCGAGTAGCTGACTGGCAGTTCCAGAGGCCTCCTGTGACGAGGTGCTGGACATGAGTGGAGCGGGTGGGATAGTTGAGAGAGGAGAGGTTACGATAGAGAGCGGATCTAGCCCGAGGCCTGCAGTATCTGTGGGAAGAGGTTCGGACAGGTATGGGTAAAGGGGTCAAACACATAATTAGAACTAGAGGAAGGCGCCGCATTCAGCCGCCCCGAAGACTCCCACGAAAGACTTCTTAGTCTTTGTCCTGCTCGTCTTGACTCCCACGAAAGACTCCTTAGTCTTTTTCCTGCTCGTCTGGACTCCCACGAAAGACTCCTTAGTCTTTGTCCTGCTCGTCTTGACTCCCACGAAAGACTCCTTAGTCTTTGTCCTGCTCGTCTTGACTCCCACGAAAGACTCCTTAGTCTTTGTCCTGCTTGTCTTGACTCCCACGAAAGACTCCTTAGTCTTTGTCCTGCTCGTCTTGACTCCCACGAAAGACTCCTTAGTCTTTTTCCTGCTCGTCTGGACTCCCACGAAAGACTCCTTAGTCTTTGTCCTGCTCGTCTTGACTCCCACGAAAGACTCCTTAGTCTTTGTCCTGCTCGTCTTGACTCCCACGAAAGACTCCTTAGTCTTTGTCCTGCTCGTCTTGACTCCCACGAAAGACTCCTTAGTCTTTGTCCTGCTCGTCTTGACTCCCACGAAAGACTCCTTAGTCTTTGTCCAGCTCGTCTTTGTCCTAACGCTTCACTCGATCTGTAGTTAAATACT